AAGGCGCAGACGTGCTTCTGGGAAGGAGAGCACTCTGGGGCCTCCTTCCTATGGGTTTTAAGGGTGGAGATTTTAGGGGAAGTCCCAGGGGAAGATCTCTAGAGAATATTCAGCAGCTTTCCTGGTGTGTCCTTTCAGGGTCTAGGTCTCACCCATTGATTGGCCGGCCCAGGGCAGGGGGTCATTAGTCAATGCAGCTGGTCCTGAGGTCAGCCTTGCTGTTGCTGGTCTGCTTTTGCTGCTTTTCTGGGCCTGGAGCTGAAATACAACTGAGGCCTAGATGTTATCTCTAGGGAGGAAAGACCAGGGGGTCCAAACCGCATGAGCAGCCATATGCTAGGGGAGGGAAGGTCATGCTGGGGACGAGGTCCCATGACACAGCTGTCCTTTGCTAGACACCTGGGGCTTTCTGCCCTGGTGACCTTCTGTACCTGGCCCATCGTCCTTGCTCTGCTCATGTCTGTCTATCTGCCTACCACAGAGGGTTCTGAGCAGAGGAGCAGCACAATCTGCCTTATATTTTTACAGAGTCGTCGTTAGTCTGCTGGGATTGCCTTAATACAATACCATTGATAGAGTGGCTTAAAACAACACAAATTTATCTCCTCACAGTTCTGGAGACTGGAAAGTCCGAGATGATGGTCTGGCTAGGTTGGGTTTCTGGTGAGAACCCTCTTCCTGGCTTGCAGAGGACAGATTTCTCACTGTGTCCTCATATCGGGGAGAGAGAGGAAGCTCTGGTGTCTTTTCTTCTTCGAAAGGGCAGTAATCCCACCATGGGGGCTCCACCCTCATGACCTCATCTAATCCTAGTTACCTCCCAAAGTCCCACCTCCAAATATCATCATTACATTGGGAATTAACACCTTGACCTATGAGGGACACATCCAGCCCACATCAGAGTCACTCAGGCTGCTGTGTGAACCGGACAGCAAGGGGAGGGCACATGTCCCGGGGAGCACCGGGAGCAGGCGGCTTACAGGATAATCCAGGCGAGGGCTGGTGGCTGCGGCTTGGACCAGCGTGGGAGCGGTGGAGCGACTGACCAGCTTCTGGGTGTTGAGAGGAGAGACAACAGGATTTCTTGACAGATTGAATGTGGGCAAAGAACTCAAGGATGAGTAAGGGTTTTATTTGTGTTGCTTTGGTTTTGGTTAATCCTCACTCTAGGATATTTTTTCTATTGGTTTTTAGAGAGAGTGGAAGGGAGGGAAGGGAGGAGAGGGGGAGAGAGAGAGAAACATCAATGATCGAATCTGCAATTCAGGCAGAACCTGCAACCCAGGTACATGCCCAGGAATCAGCCCTTTGGTGCGCCAGCTGGCGCTCTAACCACTGAGCACACCAGCCAGGGTATGACTAAGGGTTTTGAACTGAGCAACTGGAAGTTGCCATTAATTGAGATGGGAGAGTGAGGTGGGTGGAGCCGGGGTTTAAGATCGAACATTCTGTTTGGGACGTGTTACCTTTAAGACGCCTGTTTGTGAAGAATTAGATGTGCAAAGCTCAGGGGTTTCAGGGGAGGGTTGTTGCAGATCATTATATACTATAGAGTGTGGGTTTTAGAGTCAGACAGACTTGTGTTCAAATCTCAGTCCTCTTACTTACTGGCTGTGTCTGCCTGGAAAAGTGCCTTCACACCCACTGGCCTTGCTGTTTAGCACATGCTTGCTCAGCAGCCCCATGCGTCAGGCACTGTTCTGGGAGCTGGGATCGCAGCAATAAGCAAAACAAAGTCCCTGTTCTCTCGGAGTTTTGATTTCAATAAAAGGCGGGTAAAATAAATGACTGCTGGGGTTGGCTGAATGGATGGAGCCATACATCGCCTCAAGCACGCAGCGTGGGGTCTTGTCCAGTAAACAGCTGATTCCACCACCCTCCCCTTGCTTTCTACCCATCGGAAGACAAAGAGTGTCACATGCTTGGAGGGCCGAGGGGCTGGAGGGCATTTTGAGTGGCAGCCTTCCATCTCCACAGCAACTACAGAACTGACTCCCTAGGAATAGAGTGCAGAATATTCTTACAGAAATCCCGGAATGATATGTTGCCTCCACAGCAAGCTGAGCCTCTGATTTGTGTTCTTTGGCTCTACTTCGGAGCTCAGATCCTGAACCCAGCACAGACACTAAATGAGATGATGCCGGAGGCGGCAAGGTTAGTTTAACGAGCAAGCACCGGGGACGGTATCTTAACATAGTTTGTCCTTGTAATAAGTGTATTCGTAGTTTTAAAAAAAATTACCTTCCTTCTTAAATGATAGATGTTTGAGATCCCTTCGTTACGCCAGGCGGGCTCCTCAAGGTAGGAAGTAAAGCCCAGGGAGGAGCTCGTCATGGGCGAGCAGAGGCCTGGATGGCAGCCTGAGGTTCCTGAGCATTCACAGGTGGCAGGGGCACATTCACCGATGGCAGGGGCACGGTGACAGGCAGCAGCTGTAGAGGCAGGAGGGCAAGAGTGGGCGAGGGGGAAGCTCAGGAAGGGGAGCAAGGTAGGGATGGGCATGAGGAGGCCAAAAGTGGGGATGTGGGCCCTGGGTGTAGTGATCAAAATGCTGCTTCCATCGGGTGCATTCCGGGAGCAGTGGCCTGGGAGATGTACGGAGGAGGGAGTCGATGAGGGCAGGAAAAACGTTAAAGATGTTTGTCTGTGGCTCTTCCCATGAGCGGCCAGCAGAGGCCTCTGAAAATGCTTCCCTATTCACTTGACCCAGAAAACCCCACCAAACCATGGAAATCAAGAGGTTCAAATCTTCCTGTTCACTTTAAGAACACTCGTGAGACTGCCCAGGCCATTGAGGGCATGCATATCAGAAAAGCCACCAAGTAGTTGAAGGGTGTCACTTTACAGAAGCAGTGCGTGCCATTCCCTCCTTGCGGTGGAGTCGGTAGGTGTGCCCAGGCCAAACAGTGGGGAGGGACGCAGGGTCAGTGGCCCAACAACAGTGCTGAATTTTTGCTGCACATAACTACCACCTCTGGCCTCTCCTCCCTCTAGATCAGGGATGGGGAACCTTTTTTCTGCCAAGGGCCATTTGGATATTTATAACATCATTCGCGGGCCATACAGAATTATCAACTTAAAAATTAGCCTGCTAGCCCAGCCGGGCGTGGCTAAGCGGTTGAGCATCGACCTAGGATCCAGGAGATCAGGGTTTGATTCCTGGTCAGGGCACATGCCCGGGTTGCAGGATCGATCAATGGCTCTCTCATCAGATGTTTCTCTCTCTCTCTCCCCCTCTCCCTTCCTCTCTCTGAAATCAATAAAGATATATTTTAATAAAAAAATTAGCCTGCTATATTTGGTCAAAGATTTCATTGAATTTATTGAATTTTGAGTCCCCCCTGCTCCCCACCCCTGCTCTAATCAGCTTCTCCTCTGGTTTCTGAAGCCCTTTGCATTCGTCGCTGATATGGCTCCGACCACATCCATTACCTGAGTGTCGAGGAGGGATGGGATGGTGGTAAATTCTAGTCAGATTAGTCTTAGCTGCGGTGGCTCCCACGTTCTTACCCTGGCGTCCTTCCTTCCATACTGGACTCGAACATGGTTTGATAGGACTTCTCAGGAGCTTTACTGAAGTGAACCAGACAGAGGTGGTGCTCAATTCCTGTTCAGAGTGTCCTGGACAGCGCCGGAGAGGTGCTGTGTGAGGAACGGGAATGCTTCCAAATAGTGCTGCCCATGGTCCCGATGAGGTGTCCAGGCCTGCACCTGAGCATCCCTCCTCTCCTTTCACTCTCCCTCTCCCTCAGAAAGCGCTGTGTTTGCTCTGCGTGGGTCTTCACGGCTAAGAGTAAAGAAAGTCATTATTCCAAGGCTCCCAAATGAGTGTGTGGTTGGAATAAATGCAAGAATCCAGGCACACCTTCTTAGGAATCATATGAAGAAAGTAATTTGAGTTGAGCTATTGATTCTTAGGAGTCATCGAGATAAATCACAAGGTGATGTGAATAGTTAGTTCTGTAAAACAATGCAGCACTTCAGATAAATGCCTACTCTAAGAGCACATGAAATATCCCCACTGACAAAACAAATTGCGGGGGGGAGTAAGACAATGATTTATAAATAAACCCTATATACTGTAACGGTAACACTTCCTTTAATGAAATCCACCAATGGATTTAAATTATTCTATCAAAATTTAAAACATGCATAATTTTAACACAGCCATCCCACATGCTAAGTTTAAGGATATTCCTAAGAGCGTTCTTATAACAGCAGAAGCTTGTCCTTTCACAGGTACTGGTTAAGTGAGTTATCTGCATAATGGAATACTATACAGCCATTAAGAGAATGGAGGGGTATGGCAGGCAAACCTCCAAGGCATACTGGATTTAAAAGCAGGGTGTAGTAGTGTGCATAGGCCATCATTCCTGCAAAGAAAGACACATGCAGTTCTATTGCAAATACATGGAGCATTTCTAAGATAAGCAAACACTGGTAATAACTTACTTGTACTGAGACAAGTGGGTGACTAGGGAGGAGGCGGTGATTTTTTGTCTGTCTCAAGTGCATGCAGTACCTACTGTTTTCTATTAAACACACTCCATCCTAATACAAAACATGTTTTTATGTCAATTGTGGTACATCCACGTTGAAAAGGATTTTTGTCAAGTCGATTAATTTCTAGACCATCCCAACCTAGATTTTATGTCAATGGAAAACTGGGGTTTTGTTAACTGTGTGATATTAAGCAAGTCAACCACCTGTGTGGCCTCAGAACTCATCCGAAAATGATGGGCTTAGACTACCAGTGACTTCCACCAATCTCTTTGTGGTTTAAGATGCTGTGATTATATGACTCGATTTTGCAATATTTGAAAAAATTCCCAATAAACTGGCAAAGAGAATCAGTGCCTATCGGACAGTGAGCGGTACTGTGGCAAAAGTAACTGTATGCAGCTACTACTACTTTTATATTTTATTCTTAAGCCACACTTTACAGGTTCCTTTCCATTTCTCTTCCATGTGTATCTGAAAGATCCAAGGAAGAAGAGGCATATGTTCAACTGAAGAAATTTATTTACTTTTTTTTTTCTAGGTACATAGATGACAATTATAGACAAGTTTTGATACATAGGAAAACCCTTCTGTCCTTTCTCTTTGCTAAATGAATCATCACAATAATTTTTACAATTTTTTAAAAACAATACACAGCTTTCTTGGGCTGAAGCAATCGCGAGGACATATTGGTACTGGTATATTACAGCTACTTACAATGTTTAAAAACAGCAATGGAGAAAAATAAGTTATTTAAATACTGATTTCATATACAGAAAGTGCAATGTTGTTAGTTGTTATATAACTTGCTTGACAGCTTCTTGCTTTATCAATTTAAAATCAAGGGAACTTGGACTCAGACTGCTAGGTTTATTTTTCTGAAAATAATACAGTACACACAGGCAGCGGTGACTTGGTGAGCTGACTCCCTTTGCTGAGTTATGAAAGCAAACTTTGCTATGTCAGGAACTGATTACCAATACACCAGTAATTTCCAACGTCGCCCACCCCCAGGTTTAGGACAGAGGAAAGGGCCCCAGGGTAAGGCAGCCATAAAAATCTATCTCCTACTCAGTTATTTGGGAATGTCAGTAGTGGTTGGGGCCGGCTGCATTTCCTCCTCGACAGCTTCAAAGTGAAAATTTACACAACGGATGTGTAGCTACCTGAGCCTAACTGCCTTTCCAGGTTTCTTTTGTGCTTTCCCAAGATGACAATTGCCACCATTTCCTCAACATCCTGTACCAAGTGCAACTGTTTAAACCTGGATATTGCTGACCTGACCACCTGTCTTCCAACACCCACAGGCGACCCCAAGCCACCTCAGTTAAGGGTAACACACAAACACCGAGGCTTTTCCAGGATCAAATTAAAAGTGTAAAGCAAAAGAAGACCCAACAAATACTAACGATAAAAAACAAAGGATTTTTAAAAGTACAATAAAATAAAAACCACCTCAGACCTTTCAAATCAGGAGGGCCTTCCCACCCACAATTACCCGTGGTCCCTGAATTTGACTTCTCTATGCAAAGGCAATGATTTCCAAAGACGAGTGACAAGAGTACGGTTTGGCATTCTCAAAAGCTCAAGCTCAGAAAATTCCCTTTTCTGGTGCCACGTTTACTTCAATAAATGTTACAGTGAGAGTGAAAACTTGGAAATTCACGCATGATTTCTCCTCCCCCTTCGTTACCTGTTATGCATGACTTATGCGTGGTCTTTTTGCTTAAACTCCGAGCAGGGTCTCTCAAATGTCACGCTGAGGTTACTGCAAACACAGAAGAGAAGCCCACCTGACAGCCCTGTGTCGGCCACAGCACTGGACACGTTTCAGCAACGTGGTTATAGGAGAGTCCAGCAGCCGTGTTACTTCCCAAATGGGCTATGCTAACGGGACGTCACAACCTGAGGTGACAAAAATGGGCCATTTTTAAGTGTGCCATCGAAATTTGGCAGCTTTAGGTTTTTATTCTAGATTTCCACAACTTCTTCCCATGGCATCTTACAGAAAGTCTTACTGAAGAAATATATATTATTTTTTTAAATGCATACCAAAGAATGACTACATATATCACCTGAGAACATCTTTTCCTCAGAAACACAGATCTAAGTATATAAAGCAAATGCTGAAATGGCTTTGTAATTAATGAAATCACTTTCCCCCCTGAGGGAAGTCATTTGTTTTAGTGAGTAGATGAAATATTACAGAACTTTTGATCAAAGCTTTGTGTTGACAGGGTTTCTATTGTAAATGATCACAGTCAACGCTTAGCATAGTGCTTGTGAAAGAACAAAAAAACAAAGTCATTTTGGAAAAATGGAAATCTTATTAGTTGTCTAAACTGCTTGCTGGGAAATCAGACACAAGACTAAAAAGGCAGAGTGTGCTGAAATCAGTTGGAAACAATTGAAAATATGCAAATACCTAATATATGGAGAATGTAGTTTGGCTCCAAAGTGAAGCTTTATTTGAATTAAAAGAATTATATAAATAAGAAAAGAAGGAAAACAGTATCTTAATGGTAAGACAGAAAAAAACTTTTAAACATCTCATCAACTACTTCCCTTTTTCAAAACATGTCTGAAATCTTCAGCCTTACAATGACTCTTTGCAGAGGTGTTCTGTTAGCTGACGGCTGAGTTTTGGGATGGACGTGGCCAGGAGTCCAAGCCAACACCATGGCACAGTGATCAACATGGTAACAACACTACACTGATTAAAATGAAAGGTAGTTATGTAAACACACACCCACACCCACTCACATATACACACATGGTATCTTTGTGAATTACAGATAGTTTTTTACTAGATTTGTAGTTAGATACACACTCCTGCGAAATAAGCCATGTAGCATGAGATCATCAGAGAAGCCCATTTTTCCTGGAAACATCCCAGATATGTCAGATGGCAGTCTAAGCTGAAAGACTTGGAACTATGGTTACATGGTAGTGAACGCTAGTTAGATAACTGCTTAAAAGCTTATATTAAGGCAAATAAAAGCTGACTGCTAGAAAGCAATTATTAAAATGTCTCGTTTACCTAAAGGAAAAGAGGACTTTTTTTTTCTAGTGCAGACAGATTTTCTTACTTTTGAACCAATGAGGGTGTCAACCGTGTACAATCACTCCCGAGTCTGTTACTTTGGCCTAGCTAAGCCTGTCTGGTCCTCGGGGATCCTGCAGGGTGACAGACGGAAGGTCAAGGGCCCCATGAGAAATGGAACAGGCTGCCCCTCCCTCTACCCCCTCCCGGCACACCCAGACCGACCGGAGGCACAGCTTTTGTGGCAAGTTGGCATCTTGGTTCTACCATGTTCTGGAAATAAAAATAAGTGCTTGTCTTTTCTTTGGGGGTCAAAGAGAACCACCCCGATTTCCTCAAAGGGGCTTTTCTGGAGAAGAGAGGGTCATCGGGCCTGTGCCAAGGTTTCGAGCTCTGTCTGGCCACACACTGGGCCTTTCTTCTGGATCTGGTCTGCATGTCAGGGGAAAGAGAAATTGCATCAGCATCATAAGCACAGTGAAAGGGTGGCTCTTGTCCAGGGAGGTCCATCCCAGGCCTGGCTACACGGCCTCAGGGCCTGGTGGCAGTTTGAAGAGTCTGGCTGCAGACACGAGCTTGCTTATGTGTCTCTCCTCTGTGATGCCAGCGTCCTGAAGGCAAGTGTGGGACAGAGAAGGCACTTGGCCCAGTGTGCTGAAGCCTGCCTCTGTGAGGGCGCTGGTGTACATGGGCAAACCAATGGAAATCAGCCAATCCGACACAGATGAAACGCATCCGGGAGAGAGGGGCTTTCTGCAGATTTCTGTGAGTCCACCGCTTGGAATCTGGATAAAGAAAGAAAACCATTTAGAGAGACTCTACACATGCCACTGGAAGGCTACTTCTTATAAGCCTAAAAGGAACACTACTATCACATTACGCCGCTGTACTAGCAGAAAGTGAAGATGCTATATGTCAAAAACCAAGTAGCATAAAGAATCCTTTCTCGATTTTTCAGAGGTGAGTCAAATTTTCGAGAAAGTGTCTGAGGTTCTAGAAGGTACGTGGAATTAGACCTAACCCAAATTATGTGTCCAACTTTCCACACTGTGAGCATTTATATTTCTGGCTATTTTGTCTCGTGGTGACATGCTCTTCAAGGAGAGATCCCAAAGATGACTGAAGAGGCAGGCCGTCCTGTGCGACAAGGTGAGAAGTAAAACACTCAATGGTTGCATGCTTATAAAGTAGATTTTCCACCATATTTTGAATCTACATTAACAACTAGAAGATTAAACATTTCATCACTATAAAGACCCTAAAATACAATAATAACAAGTATTGGCTAGGGCAGGGAAATGGTCATTTCTATTTGACTTTGGGAAGACCAAGTGCTATACCTTTCAAAAGGTAACTGACTACCACATGGGCACATCTCTGACAGGTGGTGCGGTCTCGATGAAGCAAATCCTTTCAAGTAACGTATCCTTAGAAATTAACCTCAGATGTCTACATAGGATTTATTAAGAGTGTTTTTCACTACATTACTGAAAATAAGAAAATTGGAAAAAACCTAAATGTTTCACCAATACAGATGGCTAACCTAGAACACATTCACCAACGAGAACACTTTGGAGTGTTGATGACACAAAAGAACTTTTAGTAAGAAGACTGGGTTCACGCTCTGACAACAGAAAACAATCAGGTTTCGAAACTGTGCATTTAAGTTCTTTGTATCAACAACACTCCAAAGTGTTCTCGCAGGTGAATGTGTTCTAGGTTAGCCATCTGTATTGGTGAAACATTCAGGGCTTTTTTTCAATTTTTGAAATTTTCAATAATGTAGTGAAAAACTCTCTTAAAGCTCTGTAGACATCTGAGGTTAATTTCTGAGGATACATTACTTGAAAGGATTTGCTTCATGGAGACTGCACAAAGTCTCAGGGATGTACTTGCTAAGTGGAATAAGCCAGTCAGAGAAAGACAAGTATCACATGATCTTACTCATACGTGGAATCTAATGAACAAAAGTGACTGATGAACAAAA